TTTTGCTTTAAGTCCTAAAAATCAATAATCTAAAAATCAATTCTTTTTGCTTTAAGTCCTAAAAATCAATAATCTGCAAGAAAACATCAAAATACCTTCCATTAAGGTACAATATCACCAAAAATAAGTAGAGAATGTGGGTATAAAAATGCATACATTTTCGGTGTATCAGCTGCCACTCCAGAGCTCCCACTACTCCCTCCCCTTAGGGCTAACAATCTCGCATCAGTTTCCAATCAACTAGACTAAATTGGGGATTTTAATCGCCACCTTAAAATCTCCAATTCTGCATAAAAAAAAATAGATTTCTCTATTTATTTGCACCCAACTCCACGGATGAAATACTCTCCCATGAAATCAAATGTGATTCTCCCCATGTTGTAGAAATCATAGCTCTTTCGGAACATAAGTTTCTCAAGATATTTTAATAATTTAATTGGCCAAATCCAAAAATAAATAAAGACCAGAGTTCAAATCATCACAAATTTTTTATGATTAAAACCATATAAAATAAAATCAATACTTCACAAATCCAAATCTTATTGTAGGATGAAGGATAAAGAAGATTACTCAGAATTTATGATAAAGATACGATAAAGAACAGATTTCATAAATAAAAATAAGTTTACAAAATAAAGAAATAAAAAATAGAGAAATCCCTAGAAGTTCTTTTCAAGTCTTTCTCTACTTACAAGCACTCTCAATTCTCTCCTAGAAATGTAATGACGAAGAAATCTGTCACCTTCCTTCCACTCTTACAATCCGTGAAGAAAATCTCCAAGCCCTTGAATTTATCTCTCTCTCTCTCTAACTCACTCTCACGCCACTCACTCACACGCACACACATGCACACACACACGCCCAAAACTCCTCTTAAAGCCCTAGACATCCCTCTTTTTTATAAACCGCTGCCTCCCTCCAAAAAAAAGCTTCAAAATTCCCTCCAAAATTCTATCCAAAAGTTAACTCTTTTGAATTCAAAATACTTGTCCATTGATCCAAGACACATATCCCTTTATGAAAGAACCTTCCAAAGTGTCTAGATGCATTGAATCACTTTAAGGGGTGTTTAGAACAAGTGTCCCTTTGCAAATTCACCCAAAAATAGTTATGAACAGCCTTAATCTGCAATAAGTCATCTTTGGCGCATCTTTCGCTAAATCTAGTGCATCATCCACCAGTTCTCTAGATTTTCTAGCATCATGCGTCGGTTTGGCACATCTTGCGCCACCCTGCAATAGCTCCACCATTTTACTTCGTTATGCTTTGTTTCAGCTTTGATTCGACCCATTTCAGTTGCGTTTTGCTCTTAACAGATATTTCTACAAAATAAGCATGAAAACAACCTTTCTTTATAGTGTAATTTCATTCAAAAATATTTGATAAATCTAAATTAGATTAAGCATAGAAAGACATATCGAGCCAATTTAGAATTTTCTCTCTTGCTTACTTTTACTCTAAATTGTAACATTTTTTCATCTTTTCTCTAAAAGTTCATTTCTTATAACTAACACAAAAAAAATATGCAAAATACCTTACTTTAAAGTGCAATATCATTAAAATCATTAAAATTGAGCATAAAATATATATGAAAAAATAGGTAATTTTTAAGCGTATCACCAACTCATCGATCTCCTTAGAAAGCTAGCCCACAATCCTGGCCCTCGGCAATGACTCCTCCCTCCTTCATGAACTCGCCCCTAAATTGCCTAAACTCTCTCCCTCTCTCTCTCTCTCTCTCTATCTCTCTATCTCTCTTTCTCATCTGGTTCCTCTCATATACCCAAGTGATTCACCAATTAATGGCCTTTGGGGGATTTAGAAGCTCCTCACTTCTCTCCCTCGGCACATCATTAAGGATGCACAGACGTATGACCGGGTGTGGAAGATTCAGTCTCTCAGTCATGCCACCATTGATGATGTTGCCCAGAGAGGATGTTAGGGGTGAGCTGATAATGAATTAATCTTAGGCCTTGGACTCATTATTCATTAGGGAGCTAGGGATAGTTATAATTTCTTCAATGGTAATCACCATTGGGCTTGGTCGTTGGTGAGAATATTATAAATTTCATCAAAATTAAGGTCTAGGAAATGTGTAACAACAGAGTGGTACAGGTGGATGTACAAGAAAGAGTTGATTATGACAAGGTTAAAGGCTACCCATTTCCAAGACCTTCTCGTCCACAGATTCCTTCGTAATTGTTAAGAATTTATAGACGATGGGTACTAAGGTGGTCGTAATGTGGTAGCAAATACACTACCACCTCCTACTCTCAATAGCTTCTTCAATCTCATCTCCAAGTTGCGAAAGCACTAGTTTTGGTTTTAGTTTCCTTGAAGCAAGAAGATCGTTAAAGCAGATAGAGGTATTTGCACTCACAAACTTTATTATGTCGAAAGACAAATCTTTCTTCTTACCTTTGGTTTTTTAAGACATGTCCTAGAACGAAATGTAAGAGGAAAGAAAAATTGCAATGCACCTCACTGAGGCTAAGGATCATAGATCTAAACTATTGGTGAAGTTTTGCAGCAACCATAGGTGGTTTTTGAGCGTGGAGTACAAATCCAGTGATATTTAATGAGAGAGGACGAGCAAAGAAAAAATCACATCTTTTTCCCAGTGTAGACATTAAAAATGCCTGACGCAGGTACGTTGCAGTTCGTGCGTGGGTGTGCCTACACAATAAGGACTGGAGAGGGTGCACTGCATTCTAGGCATGGGTGAGTTGGCTTGCCTAGGGCCACTGGATGCGGGATCACGCTCGACACATTGACGCTCCAACACTTTTTCGTAAGACATATTGTAGGTATGCTGAAGACGAAATTGGTTTTCCCGCTCTGTCTCGAGGAAAAATTTGCGATCAAAAGAGGTATGGTTGTGTCTGAAACATGGAATAGAGGCACTGAATTGGATGCGGTGAAGCCTAATTGGTAGCATGGGTGTGTCAGGCCTCACAATTCATAAACATTGTTTTTCTTTCCTTCCCACACTGTTGGTAGAGATTGACTACTCTGAGGAGATCCATATCCGTTATTAGATAGAACTGAAGACAAAAAAAGGCATACAACAATGATACCCGATTCAACATGCAAAAATACTCAATTCCTCAAATAGCGCCTGGGTTGTCTTTCATGGTAGCGCTTAGTTTAACATCTTTAGCCAGAAGATGGTAGACTACTATCTTGATGATTCCAACATCAAGATTTTCTTTGGACCATTTCTATCTCCTCCTAAGTAAAACTTCAACCATTGGCCATTAACCTTAAGGTTACTATTAGTTTTTCTATCTTGAATGTCTACGACTCTGAATGGACATGCCTTCACTACAATGAATGATCTTGACAAACTAAACTACAATTTTTTGGGGAATAGCTCAAATCATGAATTGCATAATAGTACCTCTTGTTCAACTTGAAATTATTTTCTAATTAACATTTGATCATGTCACTTTTTGATTTTCTCCTTATATATTATGATATTCTCATAAACGTCATGTCTAATTTCTTCTAGCTCATTCAACTGTAATAATCTTCATTATGCCCCATCTTTAGTAAGTTTTATGTTTCAATTTCACTGGTAGATGACATGCTTTTTTTTAAAAGTAACATTCTTTCATCAAAAATCTTATGCATACATAGGAATGAGGTGACCACACACTCGTCATGCTCTCAGTTAAAGGCGATGGCTCATACTAGGGATTCAGTCTCATCGCGCAAATACTGGAGATAGTCAACGTATTGATCATTTTCTGACATTAGTCGGTAATATGACATGACCACAACATCTATCTCCAATCCAAATGTTAGAATAAAGTTAATGATATATTGATTTATAGTTTTCTTCTCTGACATATATAAAAGGAGGGGAAACGAGGAGAAAAGGATCTTTTTCTTTCTTTTTTTCCCACATTTGGATATTGATCTCCTTCATCATTTGAATTCTCATCCTTATCTTAACTGATCAGTTTCATCCCCTCTTCTGGTTTATTCTTCTCATGATGTGAGATCTTTTATAAGTTGTATGTACTCACTAGTACTAGGGTGGTAAAAAAAATCGTCGTTTGCGAAAAGCTCGTGTTCAGCAAGATATGTAGTTCGCATTCAATTCATTCGTTAAGTAAGCAAACCGAACACGAACAAATTTTCTAAGCTCGAATTATAAACAAATCAAACACGAACAAGGAGTTTTTAGATCGTGTTCATGTACATTTTGGTTTGAAATAAATAAATAATTAAAAAATAATATAGTTATGAAATTATATAGTAAAATTTTATGAAACATTTAATAGGAAAATTAAAAATATTAAATTTATTAAACCACTATAAAATGGAAATTTTAATTCAAAATTATCTGAAATTGATCTCCGCTTTTCTTCTATAATTTTTAATAAATAGCTAAATTTATTATGTTTTTAATTTTTCTTAGCTCATTTCAAACATAACATTAGCAATTCGAACAATTTAAATTAAATTTGAACCAAACATGAACACCAATCTCAAACGGATTTAATTTCAAACGGACAAACAAGATCAGGAGCTCTCTTCGTTGATTTTCCATTGATTTACACTGCTAACTAGTACTACGAGAACCTACATCCAATGAAGATTTAACCCTTGGACTGTTTTTATCAAAATATTAAATTAGTATAAGCATAAGCAAGATTAAGCGTTCGATTTTGGACCAAGTTTGAAGAAAAACTTATTTTCGAATATGACGTACAATAAAACTGGTAGTAAATACATATGGGAAAAATTTATATCACGATCGCCAAATGGAAATAATGTATCGAGATAGACTAGAAAGAGTGAAGAAATTCTGTAATAAAAAAACAACTAATGAAAAAAATTAAAAGGAGAGCATTCTATCGATCCTTCATGTTAATGAGTGCTCAGATATCATTTTAATGAAATTGTCCGAAAATTATCGCACCAACACCCAAAAATGATAGATCTGAGAATAAACAGCTTTATATGTTAAATTAAATTACAAAGATAGAGCCAATGAATGGCAGCACACACCAGCACATATTTTCTTCGCACATATTTTCATCCTCAAATTTTATCAGCACTGCCCAAAGTGTTGGCATCTTCGGCATGTGGACCACCAGCACGGGCCCACCTGAACACGCCGCTCCCGACGATAAGAAATCCAATGGCGTGCCCAGCGACGGCAGCAATGAAGACACCGACGTTGAAGGACATGACGGCAAGCATAACCAAATAGAGCAATCCCATCTTAAGTGTGTGGACAGCGGTAAGGGCCAGGCCGAAGGCAGGCCGGAAACTTGCTCGGGTGGATGACTGTGGAGCAAAGCGGCGGGAAAGGATGGATAGGCATTCACTGATGGCCGCAACGGCAGCGACGAGTAATAGAGCGAGGATGTAGATATGTTGGCCACGGTTTCCGGGCCAGCCGAAGAAAAGGATCTGAGGCCGCTCACCCCAGTAGAAGGCCATTTGGGCCATGCCGCCACCAGTACCGCCACCAGTACCGCCACCCATGCCTCCCATGCCTCCCATTCCGCCACCAGTACCGCCACCGTGCATGCCGGGTGAGCCATTGCCTCCCATTCCGCCATCCATATCTATTTGGAGTCAACCAGGGTAATACGAAGAGGACGGCTATGGAAATCAGAATTCAAGATGATGAAATTGATGTTCTCATGGCCAATGCAGAGGCTACGTTGATATATATAGTTAGAATGTCCTTTGTAAAAACATCTGTCGATGGATGTTAAGATATTTAAATTTATTTTACATTAATATAATATAATTATTAATTTATTATATTTATTTTAAATTTTCTCATGAAATTCTTTTTTTTTTTTTGATGATTTACACACATACAACTTAATTTCTGTATATTTACATATCTAGCATCTAAATATTGATTTTTATATACATATCACCATATCCATAGATGAAAATAGTTTAAAGATTAAAATGATTATATATTTATGATGATATGAAAGATAGTGATGTTTTAAATATTAAAAATAAATTTTTTGCTGGATAATAAATCGTCCTTTTTTTTAATGAAAGGAAATTTAAAATTTTTTTTTTTTTGATGAAAGAAAATTTAAATTTAAATTAGCGTGCGCAGCGCGTCACGGCAAAGTGGACCTAAGCAACATGAGGTAGACGTACGGCGAGGGCTGCTTGACGGCAGGGTTAAGCCTTTAAATGATAATAATTTAATAGATTGATTAAAAAGATAAGCTTTGTTATCCGAGAATAATAGAAGAAATTACTAAAATATATTTGGAATTAAATATTTATGCATGTGTGTCTCTCTCTCTCTCTCTCTCTCTCTCTCTCTCTCTCTCTATATATATATATA